ATGTCTCAATTACCTCCGCCTGCAGCTCTCAAAGTCTCCACTTTCACTCTCATCTGGCTCTGACTCAGATGGCTGACCTGCGCCGGACGGAGATGGAAGAGAGGAGATGAGCGGTGATGAGAGGTCTCTGGAAAGATGAGAGAGAGGAGGGAAAACCTTTCTAGCTGAATTACCATGACAAAAGTGAGCATGCCTCTCTATTAACTGCACAACCTCTGTAAGGGCTTTCAGACGGGGTTCAGACGGACATGTTTCAACAAGAAATACTGTGTTAGTTTCCTGTTTGATCAGTCATCATTAGTGACGGGAATTACGGCTCTTTGAAGGGAGCCGGATCTCACTGTATGGCTCCGGTCCTTTCCGAGAGCCTGTCAAAAGAGCCGTTTTTTTATTCAAGAGGGCGGGGCTCATAGGTTTATCTGCTAAATTATCACCAGGATAACGATGGACTGTATTGCCAGAAATCTACTTTTACTCAGAGACAAATGTATAACTCTCAGCCAGCCAAACTACTACTCAAGCAGCACGCGTTATGCCATCATCTATGGAACATTTGCATTCAGGAAAGCAAGTTCCCGTAAAGGCGGGTTGATTTATGGCAGGCAGTGAACCAACGATAAAAAGAACAGCACTCACCATTCCACCGTTCAACAGAATCGGATCGTTCGGGACCGTAACATCACTATCAGTCATAGTTACAGCACGTTGGGACAGTAATGTTTAATAATAACAAGAATACACTAATGTCTGCTGGGTGTGCGATGAAAAGACAAACACATTTTCTTAAAGCTTTGACACACCAATTATCTGATTATCAGCTGCCAGTTGAGTTGGAGACGTTTAGGAGCATCTTTCGGCTAAGTTTTTTGTAATGAGTCCTACATTTGACATGTTGAATCGTAGCGGACGTTACTGGCAAAAACGAATAGCTGTGATTGGCTGTTCAACTCAAGTGCACGAGAAGATAAATGGATGCAAGAAAAACAAACAAATGACTATTTTAAGATGGCAGACAAAGAAGCTCTTCACTTTTTACTTCCATCTCACCCGTTGATTATAATACTTGGACTTAATATCATACCAATAGTTGGCACGTTGCCGGATGACAGACCATGCTATATCCTCTGTATGATCCCAATTTTCAGATTTCTCTTTTGTGTATTTGGATAACGTGCAGCTATGTCGTTGTTTCTGGCTGCATTTATATACATGTTCCCCTTTTCCACAAGCACTCACACACAAATGACCGTAAGCTATCATGCTGATCAATCTAGGGTTCAGTGTCTTTCGTCGGGGCAATTCAACATGTAGTATTGATCATCTGCCCTGTGATTGGTGGATAAATCTACCTCAGTCATCCATTTCAGTCATTTTTCTTGCCTTAGGTTCCCAACCTTTGGGCCGCGGCCCCCTAGTGGTCTGCGAAGGCATTGCAAGTAGGCCGACAAATAATTTGCAAAACTTTATGATTTGTGTGGAAATATTTCATTATTACGATTTTTTTGTATTTGAACCTTTCCTTTCTCTTTCTTGATCCTCGTTAGCAACAGTCATTATAGCCCTTGACAGCGGTCTGTTCTACTGGATAACAACCTGTCACATGTTCTGAATTGACCAATCAGAATCGAGTATTCAACTAAACCGTGTAATCAGTTTGTTACTGATGGCCAGCTCCTTTTCTAAATAAAATAAAAAGTACTCTGAGAACTTTATTTAGCCTCTGTAATGTTTATGGTTGAATGTGGGCCGCAACATTTTTTAGATTCTTAAGTGGGCCTTGAGTTGAAAAAGGTTGTGATGGTAAATATGCCCTGATTCCCCTTGTTTTGTAATCTGGTGCAACATAATTGTAAATGTTGACCCCTTGGTGAAAGAGGATCATCAAAATCCTATTCACAGATATAGTTTCTAAACAAAACAAGTCTTTAAAGAGTTGATTCTGTATCACTTGCTAAATGAAGTAATGAATGACTTGTGTCTCAGTATGTACTGTCTAAATGTACATTTCTTTATAGCTGAACACCTGAAATAATCTTACATAAAACAAGTTTTCCTTACACGCCGTCTGTGTTGATTGTTTTTTCCCGTTGTCATCCTGCAGTCTTTACCAGAAAGCAGTGCTAAACTTCAGGGACTTCATTTTGTTTAACAAGCATACACCAATTTGCATGAATTATCTTTAAGTGTTTTGTAAGTAAATCAAAGTCAGGAAGGATCAGCTTGAGATAGCTTCAGCCTGATTGGGTTTGGATAACACAGTAAAAGCCTTAAGTTAATTAAAAAGAAGAAGGGTGTCTCCATCTCTGAAACACACACAAACTATTTGAAACTGTTTTATTCAGTATCATGTTTTCATTTAAGGTTCACAATCCATTTAAGATGTACATTTAATACCGTTGTGTTTTGTTCCTCGGAGTTATAATGAACTTATTTCGTTTTTAAATGAGTTGTCTTAAAGGCTTCATGTTTCTTTTGTATCTCACTTCAGAAAGTTAATTCTGTTAATTGACAAGTATCGTTCATTTCCACTTTTCTTTTTTAACATTGTTGATGTAAAAACACATGTATTACCTATAATAAAATACATATATTTGGAATATAATTCACTTTAGTTTGTCATATATTGTAATTAGCTTTTGAGATTATTTTGTACAGTATAATTACATTTTAATTTGGTGTGAATACTTGTCTTTTTTAAACGCTAAATAGTTTCTTAAAATTACTTTATTTTTATTATTGTTTAATCTTTGACCTAGTCTTACAACTTATGTTCTTATATTGATTATGTTTGCATCACAATACACCAAAGCAAATTCCTTTCATGTGTAAATGCACCTGGCAATAAACTTCTTCTTCTGATTCTGACATGTCAATCAACTCAAATTCGAAATACATTTGGAATACAGATGTTTGCCTTCAGTCATTACGATAAAAAGAAACTCCGAATAATTAAGTTTACTGCTATATGAACATAGAATTGCATTCAGTGATCCTCTCGCTGCTGAAATGTAACCTCAAAGGGAAATAGCACAGCAGCTAATTTCACCATAACACCTTTCACCAAGGACATCTAATCGGTGCAGTGTTCTGCTCAAGGGGACAGAGCACTGCTGTTGTAATGATTAATGACGAACAATCATTAGCTGAGAGCGATGAAACGAGGATCTGAAATCTTGCTCTTGCTGCCATCTAGTGGTTTAGATTCTCCCACCTACAGAATAACTCAGACTGCATGATTTAAAAAGACATCAATGTGGTCACATGTGCAACAGACTGAAAGAGTAAACACAGCGAGGCTTAGTAGCAATTCAGGTTGATCACACAATGAAGTAAGAGAAGAAGAGGGTCTAAAAACATCAAAGGAAAACACGCACACGGCTAATTTATCTCTCATCTACGGTGAGAGAAACAAAAGTTAAATCTAGGGTCGAATGAACACTGAAGGGTTGTGAACATATTTGTCTTCAGTAATGGTAACAGTATGTTAAATGTCTGTAATGTATCATGTCTTCATATTTGCCTTTGACTTCTTTCTTACATCAAAGCAGTTCAATTTGCAACTTAAACACACTTGATTTGATATTGTAGTGTATTGTGTCATATTAACAATGCATTATAATCTTCTTTTAACCCTAAAGAGGTTTCTGTATCTACTGTAGGGGGAAACAGTCATTTGAATGGCTGGGTCCATGTGTAACACGGGCGTAATATTGTGTATAATGGGTGTTATAACAGTGTAATTACGGTGTAATAATGGCAATACATTGGTTTTACATGGGTGTGACCTGGGTGTTATATTAGTGTGATAATGGAGTAATACGAGTGGAATAATGGAGTGATATTTGTGTGATAATGGATGTGTATGCATGTGTTATATGGGTGTGATGTAGAATATAGCAATCCATTTATTTTCCAAAATATGTATACGTGATTGCCCATTAAAGGGTTAAAGCTTTTATATGATTGAGGTACGTGTGTGATGTAAGCTTTATAACAACTTTGAGAATTATCTTGACTTTCTAAGTAAGTATGTACATCCCTGACTGAACTGGAAGGTGTTTTCTAAGGGGTAACATTAAGGGACGATTAAGGTGTTTGAAGTATATTGGAAAAGTTAAATTGCATAGAGGGAGAGTTTTTAAAGGCTTGTTTCCCTTAAGGATGCACTTTTGTGTTGCATCTGACTTTTTGAAGTACACGAATGACTCTTTCCTTTTTCCAAATAGCCTCATGCGGATTTTTCCAAGAAGCTCACTGCTGATACATCTCTCATAGAAACCCAGATGAGGCTTTAGATGCTGCCTTAACACAAAGAAAGCAATCTCCCCTGAATGCCTTTTTAGTGGAAGCAACTAAACAGATGCTTCCATTTGTAAAAGTGATTAAATTTTTTCTCAAATTTGAGTCGATTAACTTCACAAATGCAAACGCAGCAGGGCCAAAGTGCTGAATCATTCCCATCCAGGCACTCAGGCACTATTGACACAAGTTGATTAGACATTACAGTAGCAGCAAGGGCTTTAGCAATATCATTATTGGATGTTGGTGTGATGCTTGTGTGTAAATGCAAAATGGCCTTGAGGCTCATATTGAATGTCAAAATGATTGTGAAATCAGAAAATGGAGTCATTGGGCTTATGCATAAGGATGGGGTTGTTGATTGTACATTTTTGAACTGATTTCAGTTGCATTAGAAAAATAAGACTTTTATAGACTACATGTTTAATAAGCTTGAACCTGCTTCGATGAGAGTGCTTTCTACATTGTGTAAACGGTGACAGTTTGATGCAAAAAAATACAAGTGTAAATCATATTTGACTATCAGCAACAGGTACAGTGCGTAATCCTATACGCCTGTAATTGTAAACCACATTGTATGTGTTTATTTGTATTTATTTTATTTTGCAATTCCACTTTTCATCATCGCGTCTCTGCTACACTCCCCCTCTGCCTTTTGTTTCCGAGGTGGAGCCTGATACCCCGACTTCTCTAAACTGAAGTGCCGGCAACGCAGACGGACAGGCAAGGACCTAGAGGCGGTGGCACAGATCTGGGACCAGCAGCAGATCGAGGAGGGACAAACCAGGCGGTTGCAAGGAGAGAAGGAGGATTTTCTAGAGGGTTTCGCACGGTTTTCTTCTTTTTTACAAACCAGCTGCACGGAGGAGCTTCAAGAAAGATGAATTATTTCATTCTGTTCTCGCTTTTTGCCACGGTTTTCGCCGGAAATGCACCTCGGCTGAAATTTGTTGTGCACGGTAAGCAGAGCTGAATTTGCCGGATATTTGCGTTTTGGTCACAAGTAATCAAACCACATATGCGATGTAGGTGTTTTATTTAGCGATGTCAAGTGTTTTGTAGGTGATGGATCAATGAATGGCTGTATGGTTGGATGGACGAATGAATTAACACAGTGAGAGGTTAGTCGAGGTGATGTAAACAGTTTTTTTACCCCAGTTCTCCTCGTGATGTTTTGTCCTTTGCAAAATATGCACAAACGATACGCATAAAGCCATATTGACGGGGCTGTGGATTAATCTCTTAAAACACCGCCCTCCCCCCACTGACCGAGTAGTAAATTACGCGCTCCACCATTCAGGCCGGCACACATGTTAACTGGCTTTTACAGGATGAACATCTGGAGAAAATCTGATCTGCTTTATTATCTTACAATTACTAAAATGTCACATGTATTAAGACTTGTGTTAAGTGTGTCCTCGTGTGTTTCCATTTATAGTCCAAGATTCCAATTTCCATATGTATTAATTATTTTTGATGTGATTTGTGCAACTTGTGGTTTTTTCTTTGTTTTTTTGACAACTTGTGTAATGGCTTTTTCTTTTTCAGTGCAATGCAACGTATCTGAATGCTCACTTTTTTATATATATAAATGCACCGTCCCTGTCATTGGCACACATGGGGTTTTATTGGCGCCTGTCCCTCCACATCAGCACCCCAGGCGCAGTGAGAGGACTAAATCCAGAGGCACTTTAATAAAAAACAACCTCTCCTCTCCTCCTGGAGTAATATGGCGCCGGTTTGCCTTGACCATTGTGAGGTTGTACCCTTTAAAAGAGCCGCGTGCCACCGCGGAAAATCATCGTTGCTTTGAAATATGACTCTTTGGGGGTTGACACAATCGGTGGGGCTCCCGCGTCCTTGCGGAGCTGCAATGCGGGACACAGCAGCTGCTTCACTGCAGCACTGGAGTCCAGCACCTGGAAAGAGAGGGTTGCAATAGAGTAAAACCCTTCATAAATACATTATGTTCTTTCACACATACAGACATGGAGAGAAATGGAGAGGTGGGCTTTGAAATGGAAAATTCCAAGCCAACCCCCTAGTTATCTATTCCACTCACGCATTTTTTACACCACACACACACTCCTCTAATGTATTCAGCAATCAGTAGAGATGGGGGTTGTGTGTCAAGTTATATGGATCTGTATGCCTCCCCTCCCCGCGGTTGAACACAGTACAAAACGCACAAGATGACGGCCCCGGACGTGCAAGTCATATCAATCAAACTCGTTGTTATGCTATGGTAGGGAGGGCTGTTCATGCCTGTAGTGACGGGATTATCTCGCACACACTCACACAGGTAAAATACACTGTCAGAGGGAATCAATCAAGTGCGCACATTGAGCCTGGAGTGCAGAGCCTTCTCAATAATCTGCAGCTGCTGAAGGGCTGGCTATATGTCAGCACTGTGGACAGCGCAGAGGTCCTCACAAGGTGAAGGGTCCCCACGTTGCACGTTAGATGAGAACATAGCTTCAAGGAACTTTTTCAGAGATACATAATGGCTTTAACATTCAGTGAAAATGGGGTTCATTTGAGGTTGGAAATGCTGTGATGGCTTGAAGGGGCTTAGTGAATGAATGACTTTGCATTCATTTGGCAGACACATTTGTCCAAAGCTATTACAATAAGTGCACAAAACTGCAGGAGTGAAAAGACGGTTTGCCTGCCAAACAAACAAGTGCATTGTACGTTTAATTCTTCCATCTTGAAGACTACAATGTTAAGTGTATCTGCAATCTGTTTTAGAGGGTTTAGTATACCCATAAATAGACAAAATGTTAAACAGTTTTAGAGCTGCAATGACAAATTGCTTATTGATTGACAAGGAATGAGAGCCACATATGTTGTTATTTACAGTTTGAGACTAGAGTGCAAAAACCTTCATAATAATCTGGAGCTTTTTTAGGGACGGTTATATTTCAGCGTGTGAGGTCCTTACAAGGTGAAGGGTCCCCACTTTGCATGTGAGATAAGCACATACTTTCAAGGAACTTCTGCAGGGCTAACACTGGTTTTAAGATTCAGCTTGAAATAAGGTTTGTTTAAAGGTGGGGTAGGTAATTTTGGAGAAACCAGCTCGAGTGCGCTAGAATTTGAAAATACACAGCTGGAATAAATCTGCCACTTCCTCACAGAGCCCCTCCTCCAACACACACAAACGCGCACATGACCAATGAGGGCACGAGATAAGTTTGTGCACAGATGGAAGGCTGACAGGCAGGTAGGCCATCCAGTTACTTTAGCCGGGCCGGCTCAGATGATTGGTCGTGCTTTTTACAGCGCCACGGCTTCCACAGATGACATTTTTTTATGGATTTTTTGTCAAAGCACTTCAGATATTCATTGCTATCGTGATGTTAAGAGCATTCCATGGAATATAACAACAAGTGTATCTCGAGCCGGTTTCTCAAACTTACCTACCTTTAATGTCTAATTGCAAGTTTAGAAAATAGAAAAGTCAGATTGCATAGAAGTCTATGAGAAAATGACAATTTCTCTCACTCGATTCATTACCTAAGCAAACATTTCCCTAATGAGTTTATGGTCTCAATCTCTAGTTTTAGTTTAAAAGAATAAATAATCCATGATGTTCATTCTGTAAAATATGGCAAAATAGTCAAATAGATGATAAAGCGGTGTTTGTTTTTGGACAAAACCCACACATTATGTTGGTTGGCGATTATTTATAAATGTACTGTGAATGCAATTTATTTGTTATCAGAAATCATAACTCGTGAAGGTGTTTGGACATATTTCGAAACTAAAAGAAGGCTGACCTATAATTGCAAGTGTTCAGTACATATAATTATTTAATTAATATAATTAAAATTAATATAAAATTATGAAGAAAAAAAAATGAAATCAATATACATTTAATATAGGACTATAGGGTTGGGTATGTGTTTAGAAACCTCACAATATTACATCACAAATCCAGACGCTAACCACATCTGTTCATACCCAAACTAATATTATTATTCAGCTGCATCCTCAAGAGACCAGAACAAAACTGGTATAACAAAACGTTTGGAAACACAAACAGCTTTTTTGCACCAATTACACTTTGCACAGAAAACCAGCACCTGGAAGATCTCCTATTCAAAACAATTGCACTCCTCATTAGGCATTCTGAATTGGCACAAAAGACAAGCATATGCAGAGGGTTTAGACACTATCATGGCAGAATAAAAAGGGAGGAGCGCGCACGAATGAATGCAAAACTCTTCAGAAACAAAACACACAAACTGTCGCCCAAAATAGCTCCTCCAGCTCTTCAGAACGAACACTAATGGGTGCAAAGCGCTGATGGATAAATGAATTGTCAGCAGGGCTTTTTAGCGATAGATGAATGGAGACAGTGTGCCTGGTCAAATGTAACACTCATCTCTGAGGAAAAGAGAACATATTAATGCTATAAAAATAAACCATTTAGTGTCAAGTTGACCACAAAAAGAGCAGCGTGATAAAATACAAATGGTGTGTTCGAGGTTACAAACCCTACTCCATATAATCATCTTATAGCCTAGAGCGAATTGTAAAAATAAAGGATTTTCTATTTTTGTTTTATGTTGATGAGAAACTGCTGATAAATGCATGTCATGTTGCGGTATCAAATACAAATGCTGAAACATTACAAAGGTATATCTATGAATCTTCCAGGTCTATTTATCGACCCCACAATACATGCTATCTTGTCAAATATGCAAATCATCCAAATATTGGGAACACTTTATATTAAAGGTGATCTATCAAAATGCACTTCTTTTCTACATGAATATGTGTTCCCGGTGTTCCAGGGAACTCACCAAGTGTCAGCAAACACAACCTCCCCCTATACCCAAATCTCTTAAAAAGGGGCTGCAACAGATCTGATACAGACTGATCCAGATTTGAACACTTCTATGACGTCACAGAAGTGGCGCTACGCTTTCAAACGCTCCCTTTTTTGGTCCATCTGCGGCGGTAATAGGTTTTGTGCGCTGTGATGATTCGGCTGTACCTTTAGTCATGAATATTAAATGTTCATTTGATCATTGGTTTTATTATGAAAACATTGAGACCGGAAATACTGTTTTCAACCCGTAACTTTACATGGAGGCTGCCGCATACCTCAAATCATCTTCGTAATATCTATCAAACTATATATCCTACGTGGACGTGGATTCTAAAAGTAAAATATAGACTTCTCGCTAGAAATCTAATCAAAAAGCGTTTTAATGGCCAAACTATCCTACAATTTAGGATTTTACAGAGAGGGTTATTTGTGAATAAACGACCATCTGTAACGTTTGAATTCAACGGGAGCAGGACGTATTAAGCGCTTGAACAAACAACATATTTGGTCGTAATAATTGGGCCTGAACAATCGGCCTATTTGGTCGTATGAGTTGGAGGACTTGTTGGGACATTGCCGTTGGAAAGCGCTGGAGACGCTGTAGTACATATGCCAGGCCTATAGATGGTGCTGTTCTCACAGAATCAGCCCATGCAAAGACAGTGTTAAATTGAGCGAAATGAGGAATGGCTAAAATGCATGATCTGTTTGGTATTTTGAAAAATAAAAAGTATAAATATGCCTTATNTACCTAAACAAAACACAAGTCTAACACCAAGTATTTAAATCAGCACTCTTAGCGATATTTTTAACTTCATGCTATCTGAACAACCTATGTCATATGAAAAGCTGAGAGTCCAATGATTCTATTGGTATAAGTTTCATCCCTGTGCGATCAAAACTCACTGTTCTGTATGATAAATAAAATAACATTGTACCTTGAAAATCTATAGCGGGTACATTTTACCCGTTGGCGGTTTTAGGTATCCAGCGACCTCTGGCGGTTCTAGTGTTAAGCGTGATAATCATAATTGTACAAAATGAGTTATTAGTTCAGCTTCTAAACCAATAACATGTACATTAAACAAGAGTGTGTGTAATATTAATCTTGATTCATGTTCAGATCACGATTTATGAGAAAGTTTGGTCAAAGTTGGGGAGTCAGAGAATAGGCATGGGGAGACAGAAAGTGAGCGAAGGATTTGAAAGAGAGCGAACAGCTCATCTCAAGACTAATTTGACATCTATGGCTGTATCCTAAATATCAGAACATTCTGCCAAAGTTCAGGCATCTCTTGCGTTGACCTTTTCTCTAGTTGGAGGCCTAGCACCTCAATACCCCATTGAACCAGAGGCCTGACTTGTGTTACTTAAAGGATAACCTAGAGGTCCATCTTCTCAACACCTTTACAGTCAAATGTTCTATAAATTGCAGCGGTTGATGGTGAACTTCAAAAGCTCTGCCTCTTTTTAAGTAGGCTTTATTCTTGTTAAGTTTGAAACTACTCACAACAACAACAACAACAACAACAACAACAACAACTGCACTTTATTCCTTTTTAATATGCACATTTCTCAGTGCAATTAGGCTTTTTTTGTGACTCTCTAATTGGAAAATAATTTGGTTTCATTGAAGAATGACATGGTTCTCTGAGATGAAAGAACTTCTATAACCCTTGAATTGAAAAACAAGAAAGATTTTCATGACCTTTTAAAAGATTCACGGTTTGCACCCAGCAATGATTACATGTCTACGGAAAACAGAACGAATAAAAGCCAGCTAAGAGATAGAGGGAAGTAAGCACATTTATTACATCCAGAATATGACATTTCAGTTGTGTCTGTGTGACATGGAGAAGGAAGCTGATAAAGAACACTGTACATCCTGTTCTTCCTTTGTGCTTTTGGCTCTTCAGAGAACTGGGACAGCATAGGCGGGGGAGGGGTTTGGCTAAGGTGCGACTTTGAAGGCTCCTTGTGATATTTTCTTGAGAAAAAAAAATGTGTGTGCATGTTTACATTCAATGTTGCTAACCTAAATGCAGTGCTGTTCGGACTATTGTGGCTATGCCTTGAGGCCTGACGGATATATTACATTAGTTCGTCATTAAAACCCAGATTGTTTACATAGTATCTTTGTTGGATTGGCAAAGATGTGTTTTAAAGTAATCAAATATGCAAGAAAGGTGCAACTTATTCCAACTAAACCTTCAATAATTCAGTATAGCAACCAGCCACTTCTGTTTTTACTTTCTTTGAACTTAACGTAGGTCCGCAGATTAACAATGTAACTGTGTCAAATGTATGTTGTAACTTATTCCAAAAGCCAAGCTGTCTTTGTGCCTCTGTCTTTGTTTAAATAACCCAAATTAAGTAAGCCTGTTAGCTACCCTCAACATAACAAAAAACATGTTTTTAATGGTTATATTCAATTTGAAAGTGTTCAACTATGGAAGAAAAATACACACAGTATATCCACTAAATAGAAAACAAATAAGAATATTGTGTCAACTATATACCTCAACCATTGTAACCCAACATTATTTTGGGGATACAGGCGGCAGTAAATCTAATATGTAAGTTGTTACCTACACCATCTGTCACATTGGCCCTTCTTGTACATTATTTACTTCCTTGTGAAGAACGAGCATCTTCAACTAGATTCCCACCAATCAGAGAGGCCACAGTTTCCATAGAAACTTAGTTGGTTGGCTAGCAACCCGTTATCAGTGATCACCATCACTTCATCTTGCTCTGCTGTCAAACTGGATTTCTGTTTTATCTCAGGGATGAGAAGAAATCATTACAAATACCATGTGACCAACCATGACCGCTGAATCAGGTTTAGTGGCTATTAGCTCGTCTACTTGTATTAAGACACAGAGAACATGCACCATTAGTCTGGAAATACATATTGATGTCATGGTGTATTTTTGTTAAAGATGAAAGGGAAAAATAAAAGATTCACTGTTATGACTCTATTTTAATCTAAGTTTTGCCTCAAAGCTTTAACAGGCACCTGGTTGGATTGCGTCAAAGCTTTTAAGCTCTTTAAAGCGAAAGTTCCTGAAATATAAATGTACTTCTGGAACAAAGCTAGGAAGAAAAGCTGGTAGCCCATTAAGAGGCTTGTAACTTTGATGTGTTATTAACCTTTTTATGGTAGAACTCATGTCTCGAAAATTAGTTTTAGTGCATATTATGCATGAATCACATGCTTTTGGAATCGTAGAAATGTGAATGCTGGCAGAGTTGCCGTATATACACAGTAAGTGAGTCTGGTTGGATGGGTGAATCAGAAATGCCTCGTGTGCTTGTCAGACGTCTGGGGGAGTCCTGAGAGTAATGCAAGCATCTGTTGATGGTATTCGCCCGCATGATTATTTCAGTGATATATATGCTCCCACTGAATGCCCTTTTCCTCCAACACCAAGGCAAGGTGTCAGTAAAGACTCCATGTTTAATTTAAAAGCACAAAGGGCAGTATCATCAGATCGAGTGTTTTGGTAAACCGGACCAGTTTGAATCCAGAGTTCCTCGAGTTGGTTCAGATTTTGACGGCAGGATAAATGTTGATTAAAATGCAAAGGTTTCACTCGACCTGCTTGAGGAGCTTAGGCCGGCTAAATCTGGATCATCTTTTTAAACAACCTCCTCTAAGTCAATGTGGGTTTAATGGATTGACCTTTTGTTATTGTGTTTAACCTTTTCTTTATGAATCTTTTACTATTACGTTGAATCTCTTTTTATCTTTAGCTGTTGATTTGATTACATTTCAATCATCTGGAAATTGCTTTTCAAACTCTGAACAAATGCTTTATTTGTTATTTTTCCTTTTCTTCTTCATTCCCTACTATTTATTATTACTAGGGATGTAACGATATATCGAATATCGCGATATAGTGGTAAATAGATTTCTCAATACCGTCGTGAGACTGACAAAATCTACCGCGATTTAAAAAAAAAAAAATTCAATAATTTTTTTTTTCAATAATTTTTTTTTTTAAACCTTTATTTAACCAGATGGTCCCATTGAGATCATCGATCTCTTTTTTCAAGGGAGACCAGTCCAACATGGTTACAACATGAACATAAAACAACAGATAACACAAAAGGACATGGTATTTGCAGGGCTACATGTACATACCTAGAGACATAGACAAGTACCAACAGTATATTTATATCTCGCCCTGTCAATAAGCCTCACCTTCTTGGCAAAAACTGTATTGTTTTTGAAGCGGTGGAGAGACAATGCACAGTTTTACCCATGACCCATGGCCAAAGCATATCTCTCTGTCCCAGCAACATCAGTACCAAGAAAGAGAGTTTTTTCCACAGCAGGGGATATTGTAAACGCCCAAACATCCCAGCTTCTACCTGGAAATGTGGACATGCTCATATTCCTAAAAGATAACCTTGATGATGCTGAGTGAGTGAGTTAGAGTTGAGCTACCTGAAAAACTAAATTGAAACTTGATTTATTCTATTGCAGGGTCTGATTATTATATTGTTGACACTTTAAAATACTACGATCCTACTAAAATGCTCTACAAATTAGATTTATTATTTAATGAAGAAATAAAAAAATAAAAAATAAAAATTCACATTTTTTCCCTTTATTTTTCAATATTGCGATAAATATCGTACCGTGGAGTTTTTATCGCGATATTATCGTACCGTGAGTTTTTGGTATCGTTACATCCCTAATTATTACCAAATGATAAAAGCAGTAGTGTTGTGTTCTGAATCTGAATTAGGTGTTGTTGTTTGTCTTGATTTGATAAGAGTTCAGTTCATTTATATTAATGTAACTTTGTAACCTCAGGGCACATTTTCATTTCACAACCTCAAAACAAACATTTTAACAATTCAAACAACACAATACTCAAAGCTCTTGCCTGCCTTTCTCTAATACACTTTGCTTTGATCCACAGAGCCCTCCAGGTTCCACTTCAACAAACCTGAGAACTACATCAGCATGTACCACCAGGAAGGAAGCGACACGGTGTACGTTGGCGGCCAGGCGATGGTCTATGTGTTGACGTTCACTAACAGAGGGGTCCGCGACGTGCAGGTACACTCCACGTCTAGCTGACTGACTGTCTTCACACTCTAATATTCGGGGGCATTTATCTCTCAGCTCCTGACAGTCTTTTGCAATCGAGAACCACTCTGCTGCCACATTTCCAAAGATACATTACCAACCACGATATGAAATACTAACTGCTGTCTCTAAGTAGGTCCACTTGGCCTAAATCTTGGCAAAATCGAACTTTTAAAATACGGTTTGTGTCCAAATTGTGCCGAAGTCCCTTTCCCATTTGACAACATACCCATCAGAACCCACTGACATCTGGCTTTTGTCTTTAATGGGAAAGGTTGTACAACATTTAAAAGTACATCAGGTATATATCTGCTCCAGCTCCGATCAACAGTGATGCAAACATGACAACCAGGTGGATATGTAATACTAAGGCTCATATAAATATATAATAGATAGCTCAGCTCCTGACAGTCTTTTGTAATGGAGAACCACTCTGCTGCCACATTTAAAAAGATAAATTGCCAACCATAATATGAAATACTAACTACTGTATTTAAGTAAGTCCACTTCAAAACCACTTTGTCCAATAACCAATTGGTGTTCATATATAAATCTTATGCTAGTAGCTAAAATAGTTAGCTAAGTCCTAAAGGTTGAGCCACAGTTAAAGTCCTTGCATACCCGTTGTACTTCTACATGTGTTTTCACTTCTATTGCCTGATGAAACTTCCTCTCTGAACTGTATGGGCATGTACACACAGTGGTGATTGGTCTATAAAAGTAAAGACATTGTCAGAACAAATAACCACCTCTAACTAAATGTTACTTTATACATTTCAGTTTGTCTAAAAAATATGTAAAAGGTTCCCTTTCCCTCAAAAAAACCCCACCAACACCTATAGGTGGAAAGGTTACAATCAGCATTAAGAGTAAATGCATCTGCAGTAATCAAAGGTATGGATCGTCTCCAGCTGTGATAAACAGTGATGGAAACCCGACACCTGTGTGGAAATACAACGGTATGGCAAACAGCAATATATCTTAAATTATTTAGACTTATACCAAACCACAACTGTACCTAAAACACACTTTATTCAAACTTGAAAAACAAAAATAAATATGTGTTAGTCTTTCCACTGTTCCAAAAATAACCTACTATGGTTTGCAAAATATGATTGAATAACAAGAAATGCTTTGACTGTTTTGAACATTTCGAAGGATCCTTGGGAAAGATACCTTAACCCAAATGTCTTCCAAAGGCATGGCTGATAAGAGCTTTGAGGGGTTGAAGAGACTGGGCAAGCTCTAAATAAATGCAGTCTATTAACAGTTTAATATTAATTGACTGATTTATAATTGGAAAGGAGTCTATCGTAGGTTTCTCTGTGTTTAAAAAACATAATTTGGTGTTGGTAAAATAGGTTTATTTTTCACTTCAGATAAAGATGGCCAGCTGTTTTCCCCCTGCCTCTAGGCTTAGGGTTATGTTACTGTTTTCCGTACTCTACCAGAGGATAACAAACACAGTCGCCCTCCTGATGTGAGGTTACAGAGGGCAGAGAGAGAGATGATACGACTGACCGACCACTGAGCAGTTCAGCCGCGGAGGACAGAGGGAGCTGGGTCATGCATACATTGATGAAGCTACACATATATCTCTCTGTGAGAAAAGCAAACACTCATTTGGTTATTAATGTCAACATGGCTCAAGATAACACACGGTGTGGGCTTCAGTGTCAGCATTGACAAGCTTGACAAATTGAAGCGACCGTAAGCTTGTCTCGATGTCTCATTCAAATATGACTAAGCTTTGCATTTTTGAAATGACTGCTGGCTTAGTGTTGGGTTCTCTTCAGTGGAGAGGAAAAGACGAGCGGGTAAGCAACTGCTGGGGATGAGATGTCGTTGATGTTTGATGGTGTCATTCACTCACTCACACTGTAGTGAGATTCTGTCACAACTTATTTCCAGTGAAGGGTAGTTCAGCAGAGCATAACAGAAGAATAATTTAAATTCTTAAAAAATCAGACACAGATAAAGACTGAGGGCTTCTTGAGTGAAACCAACAATTCTAGTGGGAGACATTTATTACTCCACACAACATTTATTTACTTCACAACGTTGAAACAATATTGGTTTGACTGAGGGGCGCAACACTTTTCAGATTTCCCGAAAGATAAGTTCATTCTGAATCATCAAGACGAGATACTATAAACCTTCATTCATGCCCAAACGTAAATTGTGTTAAAGCAGCCTCAGAATAAGAATGAAATGAGGACGGTACAGATCAGAGTTCTCACAATGATAATAATGATAACAATAAGAGTGTGTTACCGTATGAACAAGATAATTCACAGCGAATTGTACACATACTGTATGAGAAGGTATAAATATATATATATATGTGTGCAGGTGCAAGTGTGAGTAAGTGCAGGTAGATCCTACATGGGTTACATAGCTCTTGATTGGATTATCTGTGACGCTTTTGTTAAACTGCTCGTCACTGTTTTTGACATATACTGTATGTACTGGGAGCATCACGTTCACGCTTCTCCTTTTGGTGGTAGTTATATGTTTTTGCGTTTTTGTCTGTAAAGGCTAGAATCCTAAAGTTTCTGCCTCCATCGGACTCCTCGTTTACTTCTGTAACTGTAGTGACATCATTATGTAACACTCAAGCTTCTATTGGCTA